AAATTTGAATTAGGCAATGACTGCTTACTCAATGCTATATTAGACACTAGGCATAAAAAGGGGAAGGAAAATATAATCCTAACCTACCTACGATTAATATGAAAGATGTCCTGATGAGACTCCTCATCTCTAGTCAGTACTGAAGATCCTTGGATAAACAGAAGCCCAGAAGAATCTGATTTATAGTGAGCCTTACACTATAGCCAGTCCTTTTTAAAAAGAGTCCTAGACACTGATTTCCAATTTTGAGTAAGTCCTGCCAGTTTTGGTTTTTCCCCCTGTGCATATATCTTTATAGTTAGCTCAGATGTTAGGCTTTTTATCCAACCAGGATTTTATAAATAAAGATTTCCACAACTAACCAGTCAACCTTCGTAGTACAACCTGCTAAAATCACTTAAGCTAAGGTCTTATCAGAATGTTTATTATATACCCTCTTCTATGAAATGTTTTACCTGAAGAGGAAATGATTTTGCAATGTTTTATCATTCCATTAAAACATAGTTTAGACACCTTTCTTAGATACTTTTAAATAAAAAAACAAAACACCTAACAACAATAGACAATACTGAAATAATTTAGCTGTAAAGGTCCAAGGAAGCTTCTATTTTCAGCACTAGGAATGAAGTTACCTTTTAAATGTTGCACTTTTTCCCTCTATAAAGAATGTATTGGAGTTTTATTTAAATGCCCTGCACGTGTGAGCAATCATTCCCTTCTTCTTTACCTTCCTGTGCCTCTCCATTAGGTACTTAGGAGCTGGGACAGTAGCTGCCATCACCCGGATGCAAAGCTCTTAATTCTCCTCGATGAGGGCTATTTATACAACCAGCTTCACAAGTGATTCATCTCTTCTGTTTACTACTTTCTGAGGTACTCTATCAAAAAATTATGGACATATTGCAAAGAGAAAAACATCCCATGGTCTTGTTTTTGTTTTGTGTGTGTGTGTGGGTGTGTGTGTGTGTGTTTTGGGGGGGGAAGAAGAGGGTTTTCCACAGAGCATTGTGATTTTTATTCTTTCCATATTTTTTCAGCAATCCTAGATTTTCAAAAGTTTTCATGTGTTCTTCCACAGCACTGCATTATGAAACACTAAACTAGAAACCACGTGGTGCTCACATGTCAGTCTGACTTATACTGGTTTAAATATTTCACTTTCAAATAAAAGTCCTAGACTTACTTTTCCAAGAAACCAAAAATAAATGTCAACCTAAAGTGAAAAATAGAAGAATTATACCCTTGTGTTTGTGGACAATGGGAGAGAAGAAAACACAAGAGAAGGAACAATGACTAAAATTCTGAAGTTTTCCCACTTGAACATTTCATTGGACCTCCACTTCCTGAAGGGACATCTCCCACCAGGATTTCTCCTGAGGCCCAATTCAACGTCTCTCTCTGCCCTTCTACCCAACTCCACCTTGGCTTCTAACACTCTCTAAAAAGAGCTTCCTTTCTCACTGTTTCTAGTTAGCTGTCTTAGTCAGGATGAGAATGCCCAAGGGGGCATGTGAGCCCCTCTCTGTATCATATATCCAGTGAGCTCTCAAGTCCTACTAACTTTTTAAAGTTTATCTTTTTACTTTTGCCATGACAGTAACAACCTCAATGACAGCTGCCAGCTAATATTTGCAACAGCCTGACTCAGCAAAAAAAACGTTTCATACCTAGAGTTCAGTCTGACCCTGACTACTGATAAGGTTCTGACAGGGCAGTTTATTAGTCATTTCCCTTGAGGTTCTCCACCTAGTTTTATTGCAACAGACCTAGCATCCCAGTGCCTGAAATAAGCCCTGAGGAAATATAGTTTATCAGGTATCCTGTTTCCTCCTAGGTTTCTGCTCTGCATCACTAATTTTCACTACAGGGTCCCCGACAAGAATGGTGGCTCTTTTCTGAATGCAGGGTCCTGAAATTCCACATAGTTTTTGTCTTGGGAAGACTGAATCCCCTTCCCCAGTTATTGACTGGTTCCCTAGCCCCATGGCCTAACGCAGTGGTCGGCAAACTCATTAATCAACAGAGCCAAATATCAACATTACAACGATTGAATCTTCTTTTGAGAATCAAATTTTTTAAACTTAAACTTTATCTAACGCCACTTCTTCAAAATAGACTCGCCCAGGCCGTGGTGTTTTGTGGAAGAGCCACACTCAAGGGGCCAAAGAGCCACATGTGGCTTGTGAGTCGCAGTTTGCTGACTACAGGCCTAAGGATTTGGCAAAATACTTGACTATGGGTAACAACACCATCTAGCACTCTTCGTTATTATGACCCATTTGCTAGATTTGATCCTCTCACATATCAATACCATGCCCTTTGAGGCCTAAATTGTTGATTCTTTAGAAAGCTGGCATCTCTCTCAGGGGACTCCTCTCCTACAGTCTTAGCCTCACAAAAGTCCTTGCTTCCTACCAGCCCTTCTGAGCTAGATCATCATCTCATTTTATTCACAAAACAACCCAATGAAACAGATGCTAATATCCCCATTGGGTGATAGAATTTTAAAACTCAGATTATATTAGAGAACATATATAGGCCACATAGCAGTGATATGGTTGGAACTCAGCCAGGTCATTCTATTCCCACCATACTGTCTCCACTATATTAAGTTTCTTTTCACCGAATCTCACAAAAATTATTGCAAGAGACTTACAACATACATTTCCATCTTCTAAATCATCCTCTACATTATCATAGAAGTATTCTTTCTAACATTCACTGCTATCATATACATTTCATACTCTAAATTAATTTTTCATGATTCCCCAATTATTTATAAAATAAGTAATTCTCCATCCAAGCATTTGAAGTCCCCCATAATATGGACCCAGCCTACAGGTCAATGTTTATCCCTCATATTCCTCCATGATCCAGGCCAAGCCACACTCTCTCTTGTGCGTCAGCCACCCAGCCCAGGCTGTTCCTAAAAGTCTGTGTTCTTTGTTTCTAATTGAATCTACTGCAATTATCACAGCGTAATCCAATCTCTACCACAAAAAGCCTCCACGACTTCACATATCAAACTTAACCCATACTCCTGGCAACTTTACTCTAGCCATATTGTCATGTTAACATAAATTACATTATAGGATTCTTTTTATCACATAGGGTGGTTCACTGAAATTTCCCGCCTCCAAATCCCCACACTTCATAATTCCTGCAGGGGATCACCATATTCCAAAACTCAACTTATTATTTTCAAGCGCCTTCAGAGAAGATAAATTGTCTGATTTAAGTAGATACCTAGAAGAAGAATTTGCCTATCCACCAGAAGTACTAATATATGATAAGGCCAAGTTACATGTCTTCTCTGAAAAGAGATGGAGGCTCTAGTCTCAATGTTTTGAGGCATCTCCATACTGCTTCCCATAGTGGCTGTTTATATCCCCACCAGCAGTGAATGAGGGTTCCTTTTTCTCCACTTCTGCTCCAACATATGCTAAGTCTTTCAACACAATTTACTCAAGCTAAAGTCCATCAAGAACTTCAGGAAATAAAGAATGTAGTTACAAATTCCATTCTAAAGTTTCCCAAATACAAATTTTAAAAAATGAAATTTAACAAATAAACATAACTAGGCAACAACAATAATATTATCTCCTCTGGTAGTTAACTATTAATTTCTTGAAGGAAAAATCTGTAATAATAACCCATAAAGAGTTTTGAAAAGGAAATTAGTCATGTGGAGAATTCTGAATTAAATTTTTTTATATACAGAAAAAAAAATATTCCAAAAGGGAATAACTCAGTAATTTCTTTTCTCTCTGCCCGTATAATTATTAAAAATAATTATAAATTCCCAAGCACAATAAAATTTTACTTAAAATACAATCCACTGATTGATTGATTTATTGGGTCAAATTATCCTCTATTTTACAATGTCCACCCATATCCCTATATTTTAAAGCAAATCACAGTTATAGAGTATTTATCTTGTATCCAGCTATAAAAATATTGCAATTTTTCATAAAACTACTAATGTATGTAAACTTCTAAAATATTTAAATCTCTGTTCCATTCTGCATTTACATTTTACCTGTCCACTAGAAGTACTAATATGTGATAAGGCAAAGTAACTTGTCTTCTCTGAAAAGGTCATTAAATAAGAAAAAGAACTTACATGATACTAAAACCAAATTCAATAAATATCATTTCTGAAAAACATAATCTTAAGAAAAATTTAAACCCCAGAGCCCAATGTCAGAAGAAACTACAATATTCCCACCTTCAATAAATACCTAAAGATTAAAGGAAAGCTTTGACTTAGAGAATATTATATTATCCACTTCCATTTTAGGATGATGTTTACCAAAATATCATAAATACTTAATAGCAACTGTTCCTAGTGCTTCTAGCAAAAGGCAGTAAAATGAAACATAAACCTCAACTGTGAAAGCCCAGGAGTTTTGCTTTGCATTTCATCACTCCACTTCCCCATACCCTGTTTAGGATAGCCCAGATTCTAATGATCACCAGAGACAGCTCCGCTGAATTCGAAACAGAAATATTATGAGTTCCAGTGAAACTATTAATCATTAAAATGAAAAGAACAAGAGCAGTCAAATGCTCAGCCGGTGGTTCAAGTTGCCTGACTGATAGCTAGGAAATACCATATTGGAAAGAGAGTAATCACACATTCCAATCCAAATTTTTATTTGACATTGCTTCTATAAAGCTCTATAAAACTCTCCAGCTATCAAGATGCTGAGGAACGCCATGCTCAAAGGGTAGACGTGTCTAAGATTGTTTATGAAAATCTTAAACTTGAAATCACAAACCTAATCTTCACAGAGCTCAATTTGTAAAAATTAATACCAAATCTGACAAACAAAATCTAGATCTTTAGAATTACATGGTGCTTGCAATACCGAACAAACTTCCTCCTTAATCACTTTCTTCCAGATAATGTCCACCTGAACTGGATATCATGATTACTTCTTACAGTTTAAAATGTATCTAAAATTATGAGCCTTTCCTGCCCCCAGAGAAATACTCACAGAATTAATTATTCCTTTAAGAGCATGAAATCCACCTTTGACAGGAAAAACTTGTTCCTTGGAATCAGCAATTCTTTCGAGCTTTAGAAAGAGGAGAAAAATTTAATTAAGAGGTGGTTGAGACATATAACATTTTATAAACTTCATTACATTTTAATTATGTTCTTCTGAAGAATTACAACACAGGATTTATCCCCTCCTGCAGCCTGTCAGAAACTGCACTAGGGATACTCTAAATGCATCACAATGAAATGAACTGAGATCAGCTTTACATTGGCCTCAAGTTTCAATTTCAAAACAGTACAGAGCTCTACTAGCTGTAAATGTCATGAAAGAAAGGAGTCCTAACTAGTCATACTCAACCAAAAATTTAAATGCAAAATCACTTTGTGAGTAGAAAAAAAAAAAATTAAATATGTAAAGCCTTAAAACTTCATGAAAAAAATGTTTTTTAAATAAAATTATTAAAGATTTCTCATAAGCAAATTTCCTAAATCCTTGAACTCCTATGGGTCTATTTTTAAATAAAAATAAAACACTTAAATAAGAATGTAATAATAATCTTGTCAGTTGAGTTAAAGAACAGAAGTATTTATATTATTTTAACCCAAATGTTTGTCCTTAGTTCTTCCAAATCAAATAAATGTTCAATAAATTCTGAGTTTTATTTTTCAGTAATGAAACCTGTTAAGATCAGACATTATTAATCAAGACATACAGGAATATGCTCATTTTTATAGATTATCTTTAGCATCAGTGAAAGAAATTTAATAAACTATCCTTAAGACAATTATGTGATTTAAGTTAAAGTTTATATATCTGCTCTACTCACCTGAGCTGGTACAAAGTCAAGGACACCAACACAATAAACTCTAGCCCCAAATGACCTGGCTAATTTTGCCTATGGAGAGAAATAGAGATAGAGACAGAGGTAGACAGAGAGAAAGAGAGAGACAGAGATAAAAAGGTTAATTACTCAAATATCAGGCTATCAATGAATACACTGGGGTGGAAAGAATAGTGTTAGTTCAATACTCACCTCTTTCTCTGCATATGATGGCACCAGACCTTCCAACTTGCCATCTGTCAGAGCAATTATGATACTGGAGGTTTTTAAGCCCCCTGCTTTCTCAATTTGTTCATTTGCCTAAAAATAAAGAATAATTATCCAACTCACAATTTGAACCAGCATGTTTTATTCAAGCTGAATTTATAAGTGTGACAAAATCAAGGTATTAGGGACTGGCTTTTAAAATACAGTATTTATGTTAAATATTTTTTTGAACTATACATATATTTACTTTATAAAGTAGTTACTATTGGGTTTAAATGACAGATTTTTAGCTTTGGTTGGCTACTCCGACTACAACCATAGAGAAAATAAAATAAAAAATTATTAAAAGGCAAAATACCATCCAAATTTTTCTTAATACCATGATAAGGAATGTTTTATATCAGCCTCATTCCTAAAACAACTAAACAAATTTAATTTTTTTTTCCTAAGATACGTATGGGGATCTTTCAGTTTGACTGAGAGCTATAAATTATTTTATCACAGCATCAGAAAAAATCCCTCCCGTATGTATAAATGTTAAAAAACTTACTTTTTTTATTCCTTCATGGATGAATGTCTCTCCTACTGGAGTGACAGCTTTTAAGTCCTTCAAGCCTTGATTGATTTTGCCTCTGAAAAAAATGTTTTATAATATTAAGGTAAACAAAAATGAGCAAAGATCACAATAAGCACTTCTCAAAACACAGGGCAGCATTGCAACCAAGCTTTCTTCAGTAAGAAAAGGAAAGAGCATGAGCTTTGAGGACAGATCACTCTCCATACCTTTTGTCATTTTAATGAGTATATTATAACTAGAGGCCCAGTTCACAAAATTCGTGCACAGAGGAGAGGAAGTGTCCCTCAGCCCAGCCTGTACCCTCTCCAATCTGGGACCCCTTGAGGGTTGTCTGACACTCTGTTTAGGCCCGATCCTATTGGGCAGTTGGACATCCCTCTCACAATCCAGGACTGTTGGCTCCCAACTGCTAGCCTGCCTGCCAGCCTGATCATCCCCTAACTACTCCCCTGCCAGCCTGATTGATGCCTAATTGTTCCCCTGCCAGACTGTTTGCCCCTAACTGCCCTTTCCTGCTGACCTAGTCATCCCTAACTGCCCTCTCCTACAGGCCTTCCCTCCCCAACTTCCCTCCCCTGCAGGCCTGATCACCCCCAACTTCCCTCCCCTGCAGGCCTGATTGCCCCAAACTGCCCTCCCTTGCAGGCTTGGTCCCTCCCAATTGTCCTCCCTTATTGGCCATTCTGTGGTGGCCATCTGTGTCCACATGGAGGCAGCCATCTTTGACCACATGGGGGCAGCCATCTTGTATGTTGTAGTGATGGTCAAATTGCATATTACTCTTTTATTAGATAGTATATTTTTATTTTAACTACAAAAAATTAAAGTATTAACGATGTAAAATATCTTGAAAATCTAAGCATGAACTAATTTTGAGTTGAGAATATCTATCGATACCTTCAATCATATTTATTTTACTAAATGCTAAGGAGTAAAATATGTTACCTCATTTAAAAAAATAAATAAATAAATAATAACACCAAGGACTGAGTAGGTCAGCTTAACTGAAAGAATATTTCTGAAGCACTTCACCCACCTCCCTATGAATTGGAAATTTTTTTTGTTTTCTGCAAATTCCTAAAGTGTGTTACTTAATGATGTTACTTATGAAAATTAACATTTTCTACTTTTATCTCCCAGAGTCATAAGTCTCGTGATGTAGGCAATTTTATAGCACCTTCTCACCCATCCAGACACCAGTTCATTCTCTTGAATGTTGTGGATATTTAATATGTATTTGGTGAACAAATAAAATAATAAATGGAGATGAACAAATAAAAAATAAATGGATGGATGGATGGATAGATGGATGGATGGATGACAATGGATTATTCAGAAGAATAGTATAAATTAAAAAGAGAAAGAACCATAATTCTATGGTTGATAGATGACTGATTTTTTTCATCGTGACTAATTAGTTGTCCCAATGGAGTACATTGAAATAAAATATGAATATAATAGTAAGAGGTATTTTGTGTGTAGGAGTAAGAGAAGACAAATTTTCAGTTTTTTCTTTTAATATAGATTCCCAAGACTATTTTAAAAAGAAAAAGGAGAAAAGAAAAAAACACTTCAAGAATCTTAAGAGATAAATACTTTAATGTTGCAAAATAACCCAAAATAAACTTAAAACTAATTTTTAAATTTTTTAAACTTAAAAGATCAAAAGAGAAATCTTAATATATTGCTTTGGGAATTTTAGTTTTTAAACAGAAACAAAGAAAAATACCTTTTTAAATAAAAGTCTTGAAATATTAAACTTAAGTATAATACTTTCAATAAATATAAAAAGCAGTTACATTACTGAGAATGATGACAAATGAGAGAACTGAAATTCAAGTTTTCATATTATCTGAAAATCAAGGAATTTACTGGGGCCATACACAATATGTATATATACTATATATACCTCATATACTGTTAAAACACATGACGAAAATAATTAAAATTTTATTATTTTGTCATGCTGCAGTGTTGTGTTTCAAATACTTTTAATAAATGAGTCATTCATAAGAGCCTCACTCACATTTTAAAAGTTACTAATTATATTTTAATATTGTAATGAAAGTTATTTATCAAACAAATTGTCTCTCTCAAGAAGTTTCCCCAAAACACAACTTTCAAAATATGATCTTAATCTTTCTCCTTTCTGATTTAGTTATCTCTAATACCATATGCTATCTTTTTTGATACTTGGTTTAAAATCTACCTATTCTGAGCCCATCTCTAACTTCATTACATTCTCTTTCTATGGTACTCCAAACTTATGAATGTTTAGCTTTCACTACAATAAATAACTGTCTCTTAAAAACATTCTACTTTAAAATAATTTAAAATATTAATTTCACTTAAAATTTTCACTTCTCAACAAGACTGCAAGTTTATAGTGGGCTCCCCCCATGTGTGGTATGTATAATGTATCCCACTACTCTGCATTTACTACTCATTGTAATGTCTTTTACAAAGTAAGTGTTCAATAAATTCTTCAACCTACCCTAGGGGGGAAAAAAATCATAATTCCACAGATGATGGAGTAAATTACATAATTTATAAACATGTTTACTCTGAATATTTATGTGTAGTATCTACAGCAACAACTTGAAACTGATTCTGTCTGAGTCTCACAGATAAAAAAACAAATATTTGGTGCTTTCCAGAAATGAGTGGCAGCGTGTCCTTAAGTATTAATGTTTGCTGTCAAAAAGAAAATGAAAAAGACAACTGAAATTCAAGTTTACCCAAACAGATTCTGGTTGGCAAAAATTGTTTTCTCCATTCAGTTCAGATTCAGCTCCTCATCACCCCTGAGGACCAGACAACACCAGCAGAAGACTCTAAGCTAAAATAAATAAAACTTGCCAAATGTGGACTCAGAGTCTTTGGGGAAGGTATGTCTCTGCTAGCTTATTTCAATGGAAGAGGCAGAGTATATCTCTCTTTTCTACCCACACGCATGCCTGCTACCGGAATAGTCTTGGTGGCACTAAACCCCCATTACTTTTGCAGCTGCATAGTCATCCGAGGAAAAGCGTTCCTTGCCCATAGCCAATTCCATCAACACAGGTGAGTCCTGGTCTCACTACCTTCCAGACAGACAACATAGTCTAGTCTGCCAGCCTCTCCTTCATCAATAAAAAGCCAAACAAGGCAGGGAAGATCTTATGCCTTCAAAGAATCCCAAGCAACCAAATACAGGTGACAAATTTATTGGTAAACAGTTAACTGGAGAAAAGCAAAATTACATAGCAGACTAAAAACAGAACTCATTCATCTATATTTGACTTAAAGAAATCTCTAATGAAAAGCAAGGAGGAAATGATAAAGACAACACAGGAAAAAAATGGATACGTTGTAAAGATCAGCTAAAATTCTAACATCTCAACCTTAGAAGATCAACCTTACTGAGCTGGGCTTTAACGGTATGTCTTCAACTACAAGGAACAGCAATATTGGAACCACTTGCTATGAAGCTGTAGTCAAGGGTGTGGGCTGCTTTCCGACACACAGTGTCACCTCTAAGGTCCCAAAGCGGAAGTTTCTTGTCATCCCTACACACTTCCTCCTTTTTGCTAACTACATTACGTAAACGTTCTTCTCCTCTTAATGGGAAGCCCATGTAAATTTCTTACTCATTCACAAATTATGCAAAGCTCCTATGGTTATCATAATGCTGCATCCTCTTTTCCAAGATCTTTACTTTATTTTTATTTTTACGTTTTTGTTATTGCTTTCAAAGGAAGAGAGAGGGAGAGAGGGATAGAAACATCAATGATGAGTCATTGATTGGCTGCCTCCTGCACACTCTCCACCAGGGACCTAGCCCACAACCCAGGCATGTGCCCTTGACCAGAATCAAACCTGGGACCCTTCAGTCCACAGACAGATGTGCTATCCACTGAGCCAAACAGGTTAGGGCTACTTTTATTTTTACATGTTGTTAATTTTCTGCAATGTTCTGTGCAGCTTCAGATACTTTTTGAAAAGAGGAAAAATTTAAACAAATGGTATATTTAACCAGTGGTTTTTTGGTGTTTTTTTTTTTTTTTGGTGTGTGTGTGTGTGTGTGTGTGTGTGTGTGTGTGTGTGTGTTTTATGAGAACTAGAGACCAAACTCAATAATCAACTATAAGGATTGACCCTTTTTTAATCCATAAAATTAACACATCCATCTCTATTACCTCTCAAATTTCTCTGCTGAGTAAGGAAAGGAAGAGTTGAAAAGGGGATGGGGCCGTAGCCGGTTTGGCTTAGTGGATAAAGCATCGGTCTGCAGACTGACTGAAGGGTTCCACGTTTGATTACCATGTACCCAGGTTGTGGCTGAATCCCCTGTAGGGGCTTGCAGGAGGCAGCCAATCAATGATTCTCTCTCATCGATGTTTTTATTTCTCTCTCCCTCTCCCTTCCTCTCTGAAATCAATTAAAAAATATATATATGTAAAACATAAAAAGGGAAGGGGAGAATAAAAAGACAAGAGAAGGAATGGAAGGGAAGGAAACAGCAACAACAGCTGCCATGCACTGTGTCACGTCCAATGGCTTTCCTCCATCCCTATCACTCTCTGAACTGTGGAAGGTGTTCATGATGTCATAACTAAAATAAAGATGTATTTTTACAAATAGTGGCATTAAAAAAAAAGGGTTGGCAGAGAGTTCTAGATTTCCCAACTGACAGAATTAAGGCACAATTTTAAGTATCTTCTATTTATGTGAAGGATATGCATTTACTAGTATACAATTTATCTCTATAGTACTTGAACTTTTCAATGCACATTATCTTAACGACCCAGATCTCAAAGCTCTTTCCAGATTTCAATCAACCAACCTACACACATCTGTTGCACACACACCCCACATGAACACTGTGATTCCGGTGTGAGAACAGCTCACACGTAGACCATGGCTGTTCCCACATCCCTCTCTACAGGTGCAATGTAGCTCTCCTCCCTGGCTGTGCCCTGTAATCACCTAACAGGCTTTTTAGAATTTCTCTCCTGTGCCTTAATTAAAAGATTCTAATGTGCCTAAAGATTTTAATTCTAATTGCTTTGTAAT